ATAAAATATGTTTAATGTTTACTAAACTGAAAGGGTTTTCATAATAACTTAAAACAAACGATGAAAGTAGAAATGCAAAGGCAGGACCTAATAGACGCAAACATGCGGACAGACCTGTCAAACAATTTATGGTTTAATTAAATGTTAAATAAAAACTTTTATAATAATTAATTTTATAATAAAATAATAACTTAAATAATAACTTATATATTAAAATTCAATACTTATATACATGGGTGAACTCTTTTTATCGACACTGTCATCGAGGAACGGTATCCCAACATAATAAACAGATGACTCTCCGATGCCATAGAGCAACATGGAAATTAATGGGAATAGCACCGGGATGAAACTATAGCCCGCCTGCTCTATTCTGTCACAATCCTCATCAATAGTCCGATTACTTTCACAAAACTCAAGATTAGACTTATTGGCGTTGATGGAGGCGCCCAATAGGTGAACCGCCGGCCCGTATATAAAGTATGGAAAGGCAGCCAAATAGCATCCCATTCCCGTTAACAGACACGAAAAGGCTATAAGACGGGGCCGATGCACGTGGTTAGCGATGTAGCCGTATATGGGTTTGAATATAAGTCCTGACACGTCGTCGGCCATGAGTATAATACCCGACACAACACTATTAAAAGCATACCGTTTCTCAAGTGTCGTGACCGAGGCTAAGGTGTAGGCAAAGGCCGAACTCTGAAGTGTGGTCAGCATTGCCAACAGCAATATAAACATCTTAGCCGTGGCCCACCTCTGGAGCCATTTGGGACGCCATGAACCCACTCCACAGGCATACGGTCCCGACTGGTGGTCATCCGAGTCGTTATTTTCGCTATAATAAGCCATTTATGGTGACATTTAGTTAAGGATTACTGCAGTTATGATGTGTTGTAAAAGATGTTCATATGTTTAGTAAACTGTGTCTGAAAATCAAATGAAGATTTTTGATTTTATATATCAAAGGAATTTCATATCTTGTTTAAAGATTGTTAATAACAATTTGATTTTTATGTTACAAATGTGGTAATTTTCTGAATGCACAATATTAATGCTATAAAAAATGCTGTACTTTTATCAATAGTATTTATGATTTCACATTTTTAATAGATTAATAAATTCCAGTAAATTTAATTCAAAAGTGCATTGTCAGGGCACTTGTTGAAGTATTTAAAGTGATAGATTCGCATTAATCATTCAATCATAACATATAAACGAGAGATAAGTTATTGAAATTCATTGATTTATTTGACAAAAACCATATGTCATACAGTTTTATATAAATTGGTTCAAAATAAGAAAATATTTAATTTAATATAATATTGCACTTCTTGTGTAAAATATTTTACACAATTATCTTAAAATGTAAAAGAATTTTGATTGAAGTATTGAAATGAATTATTTTTAAGAAGTCTTAACTTTTTATATTAACTTAGTTTCCAATTTCACATTAATTAATTAAAATATTTATAAAAATAGTACTTGTTCTAGTATTTTGTTAATAAAATATTGTACTATATTTACTAAATTATATTCAATATATTTTATCATATCATACCCGCATTGATTCCTTGATGTTATTATTAATAAAATTTTCTAACTAAATAAATAATAGTCAGTATAGGTTTTTCTAAGTGCTATGGATTGCATTGTTGATGATTTACATTTAAAATGCAAAGTTAAGTAAAATAATATTTATTTATTTATTAAATGTTTTTATTTAATAAACAACAAGGCTTTGTCTTATAAATGAGTCTCATCATATAATTAATATAAAATCAATTAATACCTTTATAATTTAGTAGAAAGTAAAGCTTATTATATAATGTAAAGTATTGATTTCATAAAATATTAATTTTATATTAATTTATAAGCTCTCTAAAAAATAAATAAATACATTTTTCATTTAATAACATTTAAATGTACACAAAAATTGAATTTAATATTTATTTTTAATATTTAGCACTTTTATATCATAATGTAATTGTCTATAATAATAATTAAAATTTTGGTACAATTGTATTTTCAAGCTCAATATAAAATTTCTATAAAAACTTTCATAAGGTTTTATAATACGGTATATTTTATTTCCATTAATTACTTAAAATAAATATAAAGTAAAAATAAAATATTTACCTAAAACTATTTTAATTTATAAACAAAAATTATTTTTTGTGATCATTTGATAGTTCGTTAATATGATGGTCTGTCTCATCCTCGTCATCGTTGTATAGGTTTTTGATTCTGTGCGATAGGAATACCAACAGAATTCAGGTTTGTCTCCAAAACCCATTTGTATTTCTTGAAGAAATGGTCGTCCGAGAGGTCACTGTTTTGATTGGCGCCGGCATTGTTCACCAGAATATCAATCTTCGCAAACGTCTTGACAGTCGTGTCGACCAATCGTTGCAGATCTTCCTCTTTGGTCACATCCGCCACCACTTCCAGTGCTTTCAATCCTTTAGGCGATACATTGGCGCACTGTTTGGCCACATCTGACACTTTGCTGGCATTACGTCCCGTCACCACTACATTAGCACCAGACTTAGCAAACAATATAGCCGTGGCCGCACCTATGCCTGAGCTGGACCCGGTGACCAAGGCCACTTTGCCAGTGAAGTCAAACGATAGAGACATTTCACTAAATAAGCACTAAATTGGCGCTAAAAAGTAACACTTCCTAACTTTTATTTGAATTTATATAAAATGTTTGATATTTATTAATAGTCACAAAACTGCACTAAATCCGCACTAAAAAATTACACTTTTCAACTTTTATATGAATTTATTTTAAATGTTTAATATTTATTAATAGTTACAAAACTAAGCACTTAACTTATAAGGGAATTTGATAATTAGTACAATTTACTTTATATATAATTACATGGTGTTTTAAATAAACAAATATTTTACATATTAAACGTGTCCAGTATTGATATCTTATTATGATAATTTAAATTTTATAAAACTATTAAAATGTGGAGGGCTAAATTTATTAAGTAGATATATTTTTATTTATTAATAGCAGGAATATATTGTACTATTCCCAAGGACATTTAAAGTGCATTTTACAAAAACCACTTTAAATGAAAGTATTTATATAATCTGTATAAAGAAATCAAGGATTAATACGGTATTGTAATGAGAATTCAATAGTGATTGTTAAGTGATGCCCTTGGTTATCTATGTACTGTACTAACAATACAGTGTATGACAATTTTGTTTACCTCAAAATTAACTGATTATATAAAAATTACAATAACGATATATATAATACAATATACAACAAACAAAACAATATAAAACATTTATCATTTAAATTGTAATTAAATTAAAATAAAATTTACACAGAGTTTACAATTCAGAAATAATTAATACTCGTAAGCTTTAATTAACATTAGTATTGACAATACATTATATTAAAATGATTCAATACTTATAATGCAATAAAAAATCAAAACTTTAACATAAACCTAAACAACGGAAATATGAGGACAACACCAAAAATCATGTCATTCCTCATTATAAACCTTGATGTGTCTCTACTGAAGCTAGGTTCACATTTGCGACCGTTTTTCTGGTTTTCGTACAGCCAGTCCCTATCGCACACACATTTACCACTAGTTTCATCGCACCGGCGGTCCATATCGTAAAACATTTTGCATTCTTTGTCTGCACCGCACGTAAACATCTCGCAAACAGAGGTGATTGGGTTGGGCTTGTAGTTGACTTCGCACCGGCAGTTGCCATGAATGCACCGGTGGTTGGGGTACTCATAGCAGTCACTGTCCACATCGCACTTGGGATTGATTTTCATACATTTCTCGCCGTTGTGTAGATTGGGCTCAAAACCAGATCTATATTTCAATGATTAAAAACAATGGAGATATTAGATAGAAAATAAATTAACACCATTTTTTTATTGGATAATAAAGTGCATTAAACATTATTGTGAATTATGCAAAAATTAATATATTGTATTAGTAACTACTTTTATAAAAAAATTGAAAAGTTTTCAAAACTTATAAGTTGTTAACTTAATTTACAGTATAAGTTAATCCAGACAGGCAATCCAATTATATAAAGTCAAATAATATAAATTTGTACACATACAGTAAGTACTGTACTCCCAATTAACAATTAATATTTATTCTATAATAATCTATGGTTACACTACCTGCACCGACACATGTATTCAACACAAATACGATCATGGTCAAATTCCTGACATGTAATGTTTGAATAACAATTTTTTGAATCACACGATTGGGTGTACGCACTGTATTGATAATTGGGCGCACATTTGCACACATTGTCCACAAACCAGGTTTGCATCCTCTGTCATACAGTTGTTATTTGACTGACAAAAGGCATTATAGCTATGATTTTTACAGCTTATCAACATTACGTCGACCATGCTAATTAGTAATATAAATACAACCTGTCTCACTAAATTCATTTTTGTTTAAGATCAATTAAGTTATCTAAATTTTAAAAGATTTTAAAACTATCTAGGGTATATTAGTAAAATCAATGTAATTACATTCGTAAAATAATAAGAATTTTCAATATTTAAAGTAATTTTGTGTGCTATTTCAATTAAAACCTAAATGTGAACAAATATTGTTGAGTTTATATATTCACTTGATTAAATAATATATTTTGTAATAAAGTTACAAATATAAGTAAATACAGAAGTTTATTATAAAAATACTGTAAAATGTAATTTACTTTTTATAACTTTGAATTATTTTTATATAATAAAATGTGAAGTTTGAAAGGTACAATATAAAAATAAATGTTTTAAAGTTTTATAAACCATTTCTATATTCGATTCTAACATTATAAGATGTAATATTACACAAAAAGTACAATATTAAATTAAACATTTTTTTATTGTCAACTATTTTATATAAAACTGTATGACATGTGGTTTTTGATTGTAAGACATAGTTTACGAAACATATGAACATTTTTTAAACACATCATAACTGAAGTAATCCTTAACCAAATGTCACCATAAATGGCTTATTATAGCGAAAATAACAACTCGGATGACCACCAATCGGGACAGTATGCCTGTGGGTTGGGTTCGTGGCGTCCCAAATGGCTCCAGAGGTGGGCCACGGCTAAGATGTTTATATTGCTGTTGGCAGTGCTGACCACTCTTCAGGGCTCAGCCTTTGCCTACACCGTAGCCTCGGTCACGACACTTGAGAAACGGTATGCTTTTAATAGTGTTGTGTCGGGTATTATACTCATCGCCGACGACGTGGCGGGACTTATATTCAAACCCATATACGGCTACATCGCTAACCGCGTGCATCGGCCCCGTCTTATAGCATATTCGTGTCTGTTAACGGGAATGGGATGCTATTTGGCTGCCTTTCCATACTTTATATACGGGCCGGCGGTTCACTTATTGGGCGCCTCCATCAACACTAATAAGTCTAATCTGGAGTTTTGTGAAAGTAATCGGACTATTGATGAGGATTGTGACAGAATAGGACAGTCGGGCTATGGTTTCATACCCGTGCTCTTCCCATTCATTTCCATGTTTCTCAATGGCATCGGAGAGTCATCTGTTTATTATGTTGGGATACCGTTCCTCGATGACAGTGTCGATAAAAAGAGTTCACCCATGTATATAAGTATTGAATTTTACTAGTAATGTGTA